TTTATTGTTTTCCTACTTGTTGATTGGATATTACTTGCTTCCTCCCAGAAATACAGACTCGGCAAGCAATCAGGGAAAGAACTTGGTGAGGCTTCAAAAGATGGTATATCTAGTTCCCTTTATGTGTCTTCATTATAGTTATTTCACTTGACCCATGACCTGAAAAATAGTTCAAGCATAATGAACAGAATGATAACTGACTTTGGCTCTAGCTTAAATAATTTCCGTTGAAGTTTTCGTAATTACCTTACAACAACTACAACGACAACAACATAGCCTTTTAGTCCCAAGCAAGTTGGGGTAGGCTAGAGATGAAACCCAACAACAACAACACAAGTTTTTGTAATTACCTTAAATATGAAAATATGCAAGCTGTATCCTATAAAGTCCATATCATCCCTACACGATTTTCGATCCAAAACAAAGTAAATAGAAAAGTAACATTCACGCTTTCTTCTAAAATTGGGTTGCCCTTGTCATTCTTTTAATTTGTTTTCTTAAGAGAAATTCTTCTATTTGGACATCCAAGTGATTAATTTGCTTCTTTATTTATTGATGCTGGACTTTCAGGCACAAGTAAATAGAAAAGTAACATTCACGCTTTCTTCTAAAATTAGGTTGCCCTTGTCATTGTTTTAATTTGTTTTCTTAGAGCAATTCTTCTATTTGGATATCCAAGTAATTAGTTTGCTTCTTTATTTATTGATGCTGGACTTTCAGGCACATACCTAAACGATAGCCCTCGGGCAAGTCATTCTCCTGAGAATTTGCAAGCATCTGACGTGAATGAGTAAGGATTTGGATTATTTTCTGAAAGTCTGTAGTGTGTGATTTAATTGTTTACCAATCGAAATGTGAGGAACTTTTTTTTTTTTTTTTTATCGTTTTACAATACAATCAGGGGTTATGAAGTTAAGGAGGCATTGAGAGCACAAATGGAGGTTCAAAGCAAACTGCACTTGCAAGTTGAAGTAAGAAATCTCATCTTTCTTTTTTTACAACTTAACCACAGAAATTTGGATTTTTTTTCTAAATGACAAATAAGCATCCTTCATTCTTGGAAGAAATCTCTTACACTATTCAGATAATGGAAACATACATTTGTTCAAACTTTTCAATAAAATACTAGTTATTCATTTTCATGCACGTACTAGATTCAGCTTCAATCCTACTAAGTCATCTAAGACAATAGAAGATGGAAACATTTTCCATTCCATAGGTGTTATAGAATTGTTTTCATTTTAATTTTCAACTTCTAGAGGGAAAAGTGAGAATTGAAAAGTTATTGTAAATATTTTAAATGAAACTATGTTTGCCAAGATGTCGGAGTCTCTTTCCATAACAGATTTGTGATATTGTAGCAATGTTTGTGTATAGAATTCCATAATTGCAATGGAAATGTCTTTTATAAGATTGAATTTCAAGTTCCATGTGAAGGCGAAAACTTCAGATGATTCAATTTCCAGTATACTCAGACTAAAGATAGTTGGAAATTATAGAAATTTGGTTGGGGACATTACCGTATATTCCACATAAAACACAATCAAGCCACAAGTCTCAATAATTAATTACAGTTATATCAGAACATTTGAAATGTTAAAAATCAATAAAAAAATTAGTGAAAGAAAATTCAATATGAAAAATGAATCTGTAAAGACAGCAACCAACTATCATGGCTTCCATGTACTGATTTTGTGCCATTTTTTCAATTTGTAATCAACAGGCCGAAAAACATTTACAGATCCGCCAAGATGCCGAGAAAAGATACATGGCCATGCTTGAACAAGCCTGTAAGATGCTCGCTGATCAGATTCTCGGGTCCCCACTTGCCAACGAGGATGGGGATGGCTTCCAAGGAAATGGGCCAAAGTCGGAGCCCAATGATTCCCCTAGCCCACTAATATTACCATACCCAGCCCAAACCACAGGCCCATTAGTATATCCCAGTAGATTTGAAATCCCTCCAAACCTTCACCAGCAACGGGCCGATTGTTCGACAGAGAGCTGCCTCACGTCCCATGATGTGGACCCCACAAATGCTTCATTTGTGTGGGGCGAGTCGGAAGCGTACACCTCTGACCTTCCTATGGTACAACTCAGCTGTGAGCATGTTTTTAATTAAGTAGGTCAACACTCAACAACTAGCTGGGTTTGCTTGCTGCCATTCTACTGAAACTTCTTGTTTAGGGTGAATGGTCTGAAGGACTTGTGGAGTCTAACTTATTTCAAGCTGTAAATGGAATCTACTGATATTGTTCTTTTTTTTTTTTTTTTAATCATCATCATTTGTTGTCATTTTATCTTGTTAACTTCAAAACCTTTTTATTACATCTACTGTAATGTAGATGTACCTACTGTGGATGTAATAACTGATTTTCCAACATATGCTTTGAGAGGGATGACAACAAGGACTAAAACTCAAAATATTTATAAATTCACTCTCAAGGGCATGTTTGTTTATAAATTATTTCACTTTCATTCAATTCATACTCAAAATCTAACTCAACTTTATCTCAACCGTACTATCCTTAACATTCCAAGTTTATATTTCACTTTAATATAAACTTAAAATTCTATTAATAACTAAGTATATTACATTTTTTAAAATTAACCATAATTAACTAAAAAACTCATTTTGAGCAAACTTATTTGTAAACAAGATTCTCGTATGTGAGTTGTTTTGTATTGTCTTGTTTAATGTTGTGTTTAGTTTCGGATTTTAGGTTGTATGTGTATTGTCCTTCTAGATTTAGCTTGTCAACCGATTTGATTATGTTGAATTAGTTGTAATATGGTTTGTAGCTTTTGGTTGTATTAATATATATATCTATGGTGTACAAAAAAAATTATGTCATATTAAAAAATAGCTATTTTTTCTTGGTTACCTTTGCAATAGCTAATATTAAACAACTTATTTATTACATTTTTTTATTTGAAATCTATATATATATATATAATAAAAATTAACATTTACCATAAATAGTAGTAAGAAAAGTCAAACCACATTCATTATATACTATTTTCAGCAATTTCTTTATTTTACATTTTAATTTTAATTCATTATCAAAAAATTGGATGGTTCCTAAATTAATGGGTTTTAGATGCTTTCAAAAATTATAAAATCATTTAAAATCGGATGGTTCTTAAATTAAATATATATTTATGACATCTTTTCAAAGTTGTAATATTTATGACATCTTTTCTTTTTGACTTTTAATAATAAAATCATTTTAAATATATATATTCTAATCCAAAAATTCAATCATGTTAATATATATATATATATATATATATTGAACGCTAAAAATATTCTTTAAATTGCATACCCAATCAATTAATCTTGATTTTTTTTTTTAAAATTACTATGTTTATTTTTTATTAATATGCATAAAATAAAAGTAAATAATTCATCTTTTGATATATAATTTACAATCTTAATATACTATTATTTGGTGTAGACATATGAATCATAAAATTTTTTTATTTCATAAAATTAAATATTATATCTAAAGAAAATAAGAAAATTACTTTGGATCAATCGGGTGATCGAATTAGGGTACTGCCCACGTTGATTGAATTACTTTTAGATGATATTTAAAATAGTCAAAAAACTTTGAAACAACTTAGTTGGTCCCACGTAACTAAGTTATGTATCAGTTTGACCAGACCAAATCGATTATTGAACCTAAATATAAATTTTAATATTGAAAATACTTTATTACGTGAATGTGATGTAGTCCAAACTTTAAATAATCATATTAACAATACTTTTATGACAACATGATTAATGATTTATGAATATTTATATATCATTTTATTATTATTTATGTGAACAAAATAATTATTTTATTATATTTTTTTATTAATGTACGGTAAATATAAGGTTTTCAGAACCGGACCGTCATCAAAACGATCAAGTTATTTTATTAAATCATTTGTGGTTGTTCAAATTTTAATACATACTACTTATATATATATATATATATATAGTACTTTTTGTAATTAATTTAAATAAAAAGTGTTACTTAAATATCTAAACAATTTATAAATTCAAATGTTTAAATTAATTGATAAACAATTTATAAATCTCTATTTTATTTAAATATGTAATTTTATTTAAAATTATTTTTAATGTAACAAAATTTGTTTAGAAAATCGTATCGATCCTACTAATCCAACAGACTGGTGTTGAAAGATTCGATAGCAATTCAAGCACACTAGACTGGTTATAAACCAGTTCTCGGTCCATCCGGTCAGACTGTGTCCAACCTGGTTTAATTTAAAAATAATGGATAAATCATGATTAATGTTATTTATTTATTCAATTTATAATACAATCAAAATATTGTTTTACCCGTGCATCGCACGGGCCACGCACTAGTATAATTATTCTAGTTTACATAATATTATCACACACATTAAGCAGGTAAATTGCAAATTGCGTAAAAGTATTTTAGTAAACAACATAAGCTAGCTTATAAATTTTCTTTATACAAATAAGGTTGGTTTGATAGAATGAGGGTTTTTAAGAAACTCGAGCTTATTTCATAAGCTTTTTTGACTAGCTTTTTAAATAAGCCTGTTGAATTTTTTATTTCAGCTGACTTACCAGCTAATTTTTCCACACTTTTATCATATCAGTTAATTCAGTTATAAATCATAAATTATCTTCTATAAGATCGAAATTTACTTATAAGTTATCAGCTATCTTATTAACCAGTTTTACCTAATAGTATATAGTTCTACACGTCCAAATCATTTTATATCAATTTTTATGTTTAAAATTCTGCCCAGATAAAATGTTTCAAAATAAATAAATAAATAAACTCCCTATTCGATATAACTACCACTTCCGGATAATAAGTTAAATTACTTCACTCAATCAGATTTGCACAAATGGAAATATGATGTTATGAACTGGGTTTTTGATATCTGATTTTTATGTATTTTTCTGTAATTATTAAAAGCTGTAATTTTAAGAATTTAGAGCTGGATTGGTGAGGAAGAAAAGGAAGAAAATTCAGGGAATGTTGAGGAGGGAAGAGAGAGAAAGTTAAGATGAGAGTGACGTAATTGCCAAAAGCTGGCTAATTCAGATATTGCCTTTCATATTAATACGCATTACATGGGTCTCATAACACTTCCGTAACTGGGCTTTAACCTAACAATTTAGCCCAATACTAATTCTCTTAAAAATAAGATAAATAATAATTGATTTGCACGGCCCATCCTGCTAATGAAGGTCCGGCCCAAAAGCCCCTATAACCTTAGCATCTTCTCTCTCATTACACAGATCGGTAAAATTAGGGCACAACCCCTCTTTCTTATCCGTTCCCAAGATCCCGCCTTTGCCACCGTCCATCTCGCCGGAGTTTGCCATCAAATCCCCTCCTTTAGCCATTTCTGTCATAACAATACCCCCTTCTTCAGATGGTCCTTGTCCCCAAGGACTAAGCGACGGAAATTTTTTGGCGATGAACGGCGCATCTTCCCAAGTTGCAAGGTCCGGTCTTTCGGTGTCCCACTGGACAAGCCACTCCTCCACGACCTTACCCCGACGAGTAGCTGTCCGTTGTGATATGACACCAACTGGGTGAACCTCAAACAACCCATCGGTAGTTGTCGGCGGCAAATCGGCGGTGACCGGAGTCGAGGTAGCCAATCTCCGTTTTAGCAAGGAGACGTGAAAGACGGGATGGATCCGAGAATCCACCGGAAGATCTAGTCGGTAAGCCACCTTCCCTATTCTCTCAAGCACTGTGTATGGACCATAGTATTTGGAAGACAACTTTAGATTTTTTCTCAAGGCCACTGAGTTTTGTCTAAAAGGTTGCAACTTCAAAAATACTTGCTCTCCTACTTGAAATTCACGATCTTGTCTGTGTTGATCAGCATATACTTTCATTCTGTTTTGAGCTGCCAGCAAATTCTCTTTAATAATCTGCAATGCTGCTTGTCTTTGTTGAGTAAACTCTTTGGCATCTGCATTAGTTGCATTTTGATAAGGTCCCAGACACATCATTGGGGGTGGGTAGCCGTATAGTGCTTCAAAAGGGGTCATTTTCAGTCCTGTGTGATAGTTGGTGTTATACCAGAACTCTGCCAAAGGTAACCATTTATGCCATTGCTTAGGGTTCTGGTGCACCATACACCTTAAGTAAGTTTCCAAGCACCTATTCAACCTTTCAGTCTGTCCATCTGTTTGGGGGTGGTATGCTGATGACATATCAAGTTGCACCCCCACAAGTCTGAATAGTTCCTTCCAAAAATGACTTGTAAAAATTTTGTCCCTGTCTGTGATGATACTCACAGGATAACCATGCAGCTTATGAATTGTATCCATGAACACCTTAGCCACAGTGTTAGCTGTAAATGGGTGGGAGAGCCCAACAAAATGTGCATACTTAGTAAGCCTGTCCACTATGACCAAAATAACATCTTTGCCCCAAGACTTAGGCAATCCTTCAATGAAATCCATGGATATATGTGTCCATGCTTGGTCTGGGATGGGTAGTGGTTGTAGCAGCCCTGGATAGGTCCCTGTGTCAGCTTTGTTCATGCAACAAGTATCACACCTTTTTACCCAATCTTCAACATCCTTTTTCATACTAGGCCAATAGAAAATCTTTTTGGTCCTCATATATGTTCCTTGTATCCCAGAATGCCCTCCTAGGGATGAGTCATGCAATGCTTCTAGGATGAGTTCTTTCAGGGTTTTATCCTCACCAATGCATACCCTGCCCTTGTATCTCAGCAGCCCTTCATTAATTGTGTATTCAGGGTAGGCTTGTGGATCAATAGTATTGGCTGTGATAATTTTCTTGAAGTTGGGGTCCTCATCATAGCTCTTAACAACCTGTAGAGTCCACTTAGGCACCACTGTGGTTATGGCTGCTACTTCTTCCCCTACTGCTTCCTTTCTTGACAAGGCATCGGCCACTCTGTTTTCAGCCCCTTTTTTGTATTGGATCTCATAATTTAGACCGAGGAGTTTTGTCAATCCTCTCTGCTGCACTGGGGTCATGATTTTCTGATCTAATAGGTGTTTGAGGGCCTGTTGATCAGTTCTGATGATGAACTTGTGTCCTGAGAGGTAGTGTCTCCATCTCTGAATGGCTAATAGAACAGCCAGGAACTCTCTCTCATAGATGGATAACCCTTGGTTCTTAGGACAGAGTGTTTTACTGAGATAAGCTAGGGGCCTACCTTGTTGCATGAGAACAGCCCCTATGCCCTTCCCACTTGCATCT